ACCTTGACCAGTTTCAGAATCAACAGCTGATTTCATTTCTTTTGCTAATTGAATTTTTCGTTCCCAAAACATTATTTGTTTTCTAATCAAAAACAAAAAAAAAGCAAAAAGGAAATTATTTGAATGTATTTTATTAATAATAAAACATACTCAGCTTCAACAAGATTGGCTAAAAGATTTTCTCGTTCTTTTCGTATTTCATCTAATTGTGTTTCCATATGTACAGCATCTTTTTCTGCTTCCTATTTATTGTTGTTGTTTTTCAATGAAAAAAAAACAACCAATAAAATAAAATTTCATATGTAGAAACAAAAAAAAATTCACAAACTCTTAATTCTCGAACAAAATCACTTTCTGATAAAAGATTATTTCTTTCTAATGTTGTTTTATTTGTTCCTTCTTTATAAATTAATTTATTTAAACGTTCTAAATCAAGTCTTAATAATTCAATTTGACGTTTTAAATGTGTACAATCAGTTTCCATATTTTTAATTGTATCTAAATAAAAAAAAATAATCTAATTTATTCAAAGAAATTTTTTTTTTTTTACTTTCAGTTCGAAGTTTTCTTGACATTAATATTGTATGTTTTAATTTCATTGAATCAGTTTCTTTTTCTAACATATCTTGTTCATTTGTTAAATGTACTAATTCATTTTGTCCTTTTAACCATGCTTGTTCAAGATCAAAAATTTCTTTTCCAATTTGTGTTATTGATTTTTGTAAATTTAATATTTCTAATTCTAATGGTCCTAATTCAATACCACCAGCTTTTTCTTTTAAATTTTCTAATTTTTTATTCATTAAATCAATTTGATTTTGTTTTTGTTCAATTAATAAAACACGTCGTTTTATTTCTTGTTCACTACGTGTTATAATTTGATTTTTCTCTAAAATTTGTTCATTATATTCTTTTGATTGTATTTCAAGTTGTTTGATATTAGTTATTAAATATGTTTTTTCTAAACGTGCACGTGCTATATCATTTTCAACTTTAGATAAATTACGTTCCTAAAGAAAAACAAAAAACAAAAATTTGTTTTTTTGTAGAAATAAAAATAAATTTAAAAACTTCGTACGAATTCACGTGTAGATTCTTTAAGTTTAAAACGTAATTTTGAACTATATTCAGCAGCTTTTTCGGCTGTTAATTGTTCTTGAACTTGTTGATAGATTTCATCTTCTAATTTAACACGTTCTTGATTTTCTTTTTCGATTTCACGTTGTAAAATATTTAATTCATGTTGTTTTTCAGCTTTTTCCTATTAGAAAAAGAAAGAAATTTATCAAGTTTATCTTTGTTCTTCTTTTTTTTGATTTACATTATTAACACGATTAAGCATAAGTTGAGTTTCTTCAAGTGCTTTTGTATATGTAGAAATTTCTTGTTTACATGTTTCTGATTTTTCAGTATTTATTTGAAGTAATTTTTCTAAATTTTGTATTTCATATTTTGTACGATTTAAGACTAGTGTTAATTTTTCATTTAATTCTTGTTCTTTTACAATTGAACGTTTATATGATTCCATTTCAGTATTCATTGTATCAATACGTTGTAATTGTAATCTAAATAGATCGAGAGAAAAAAATATATTTTAAATAATATGTTCTCTAACAAGATTTCATAGATGAATTATAATAGTGAGGTTTTTTAAAAAAAAATTGAATACGGTAGTTTTCAGATTCTAGAAGCTATTTTTTATTAATATCATTTTAAAGAACACAAAAATGAAGGATCGCCGCATTTTCGACGATCTTCCTTTGAAAAAGTTAAAAATATCACAAAAAGTTTTTTAGTTGAATTTTTAATAAATTTCGTTTTTAAATAATGTTTTTAACCTTTTTTAAGGGAAGATTGTAGAAAATGCGGTGACTCATTATTTTGTGCTCTGTAAAATGGCATTATTAAAAAATAGCTTTTGGAACTCGAAAATTGTCGTGTCCGGTTTTTTTTTTAGAAAAATCAATTGACTATTAAAATCGCTATGTGAATTTGAGCTAATTGCTTAACATGATAGAAAAATAGATTAAAAATACGTTGTTGTGTAACTTTTTTCTACCATCTTAGCACATCCTGTACACTTCTTAGATGACTAGAGCTTATAGGATTCAAAATTTTCGGATCCAACCGAGTCTGAGTTCTGGACGCACATGCTACTTGTTAACAAGAATAAAAGTCAGATGCAAAGGTTCTACTATCGTGTGAAATACAAAAACTTAAACTCAATACTTTGTATATGAAAGAGATGTTTAGGAAATGATAATTATGATATGATTTTATTGTATACCTGACAGCTTCACCCATTGTTGCTTGTGCTTCATCACGTCTTCGAATACCAATTAAACAACTATTCCAATTTTGCATTAATTGTTTTGTTTCTAATTCTAATGTTTCTGATTCAAGTCGTGCTTCGACTAATGTATGTTTAATATTTTTTGTTTCTTCCACTAGATAAAATAAAATAAATTAAATCAATCGAAAAATAAGACAACAATGAAAATTACTTTGAATTCTTAATTGATATTCATACATTGATATTTGTTCACGAAGCATATCAACTTGTTGTACAAGACGATCAACAAATAAATCCTTTGTTTAGATTTTTTTTTTTAAAATTAATATAAAATTACAATTTATTTAATAAATATTTAACATACTTGAACTCTTTTATCCGCTTCTAATTTTGTTACTTCAGAATCAACTTTTTCTGTTGCTCGACGCATTGTTGATAAATCACCTCGAATATCATTTTTTGCTTTATTCATATAATGTAATCGACGTTGAAGAACATCTCGTTCTTTTTGAGTTTCCAAAGCTAAAGAATTAAATAATAATATTTAATAAATATTAAATCTTTTTTTGTAAATAAAAAACTTTGTCTCATTTGTGTATCATGTTCATCTTTCTTTTTTGCATGTTTCTCTTTAATATGTTTTATATCTTGATCAATACGTTGACGATCTTGATTAATTTCTCCAAAACGATCATGTTCTTTTTCAAGTAACATTTGATGTCTTGCCAATTCTTGTTGTAAATTATACAATGTTACACCAAGTGCTTCACGTCTATCACGTATTTTCTATATTCGAGAAAAAAAAAAGACAATAATTTGTTTGTTTTAAAGATATATATATAATTAAGTTTTCTTTACTTTAAGTTCATTATCTGCTTCTCGTAATTGAATAGAAAGTTTTTCTTCACGTTTAAGTAAATGCTGTTTAAGAGCTTCTTGATATCGAACCATAAGTGGATGACTCGGATCCAGTACAACCAATGACTGTTCATCTTCTGTAAGTGCATCTTCTGTTTAATAAGAAAGACATAAATGATATTAGATTTGTTTGAAAAAAAAAAACAGAAATAATGCTTCACTATTGCATTAACATTTGTTAGGCTTTTGATTAATAGTGTATCTTATACGTTATTTCTATCTGTGAGAACTCAACGTATTTTCAGTTATTTTATAAATAGTTTTGTAAATCAAGATCATGTGCTCTATTCGAGTATGAGTTTAGAATATTTTTTTGGCTTACAATTCGTTAACTGAAAGCAAACTTCTTTTAGTGATATAACCAGAAAAACAATTGTAGGAATCGCTTAGTGCTCCGGCCCGTCGTCTCTGATAATGCTTCTAGAAGACAATCAAGCTTCTTCTTAAGTGGAATTCAACCGTTTGTAAAAGGAGTAGCGAAACCATTGTCCAGTTACATAGATTTTGCGCAATCTATAGTTGATTTAGAGTGAATTTTTTGAAAAATGTTAACTTGCTATTGTTGTAGAGTATTCAATTCTGTTCAAAATAAATTAGAGCTTAAAAAAACAATTAAAACTTATGAACGGTACCATTTGCCTAAAAGTCGATTTTTCAAAATCCATCTTATTGAATGCAATAGATTTTTTGTTTTTACATTGGGATATGAAAGACAATTAATGTCCAGATCAGTATTAAAGAGAGATGGGTGTAAGCTGAATCATTCAATAATGGTAACAATCGAAAAAGGAGAACTTCGAACGTCTTTTTGCTTGATACTATATAAAACAAGATTATTTTAAAACCTATCATCTTCGTAAAGCATGCCTAAATTTCTGCGTATTGTTGAGTTTACATCCATCTCTCTTTAATTCTAGTATGGACATTAATTATTTTTAAATAAGTGAATAAAATTTTGTAACAAAGATTCTAAAGCCAAAAAAATGTTTTAGATATGAAACTGAATGTTTTAAAAATAGAAAATAACATACGTAATTCTTGTGCACCTTCCGTTGGACTATTTGGATCAGCATAATTTATCGGATAATCAGTTATATTGACTGTTGTATTTTCTGTGTTGGATACGGTCGGAAGACCTATAAATGAAAATTTTATAAATCATAATTTTACTAATTAAAATAAAATCAAACCTGTTCCATCACCGACCACATCATTATCATCATCGTATTGCGACATGTTTTGTTTTTTTTCTTTTTACAAAAAAGTTTCTATTTTCAAACACATAATGAACATCCCCTATATTTCACATGGACAACAAACTGTTTTCAAGGTTGCTTAGCAACTAAATTTTCAATCTTTATTCTTAAAAAAAAAAAAAAAATTTTATTTTAGATATAACAAAAATAATTTTCAATATTTCTTTTTATTGAAACAAAAAAAAAGAATCGAAATTTGAAAAAAAGAAGTTCTTTTATATATAGATGTCACTTTTACATATTTGTGCAATATACATGTATCGCCATTGTTTCCCGTTTGTGAACCTTCATGTATTGATACATCTCCTATGTCTGCGTAAAAGGACAGGAGAAGAAAAAAAAAAGAAAAAGAACACAAACTTAATAGAAATATTTTTCTTTTTTCTATTTTTTAGATTTTAGAATCCTATTTTTCATCAATCACTAGAACAAAGTCCATTTATATATATATATCTATCTAATCAAGAAAAAAAAAACAAAAGAACAGATCTTTTTTTTATTTATTGTATGATCACAATATTAATATCATTATCATGTCTGTACCCAATAAATCTCTTGATAAAAACAAACGTTATGCTGGTGTTAAAGCCAATGATTTTGTAAACAAAACACGAGCAAACGAAACAAATCGATCAACTGGTATGTTTATTTCCTCAAAAAAAAAAAAAGAAAACAAAATTCAATATGACTTCATTTTTTTTTTGTTTTGCTCAGCTCGTCCTCAAGGATGGGCAAATTTAGGAAAAATAAATAGTCGCCGAATTCCACCACCGGCTAATTTACCTAGTTTAAAAAGTGAAACAGGTATTACTTCACCAACATTTGATCCAACAATAACAACAAATCATGGTTGGACATCAAATGAAAATTCATCAACAACAATTAATACGATATCAAATCCAACACAACAACAAATTGATTCATTACCAATTAATTCTTCAGCATCATCACCACCACCACCACCATCATCACTACCACAACCATTAATGGATATTGATAAACCACGTTTAGCATCAACATGGAATACAACAACATCTGGTACAAATATTAATACAAATGAATCAATACCAAGTTTACTTCCATTAAATGATTATCCTCGTTTATCAACAATACAAGATCGTAAATTACAATCAGAATCAATAACAAATATACAAAATCCTAGTTTTCGACCAGCTAATTTAGCTATATGGAAAGATGGTGGTAGTGGTAATCGTATACAATCATTAACAAATGATCTATCACAAATAATATTAAATAATCCTGGTGCTAATTTATATCAACCACAAATATCAAATCCAAATATGAGAATGTATCCACCACAAATGGTAAATTTTATTTCTTAAAAAAATAAATTCAATTGATATTTTTTTTTTTATTCTTTCTAGTGGACATATAATCCATATACACCAGTACCATTATCAATACATCAACATCAACAACAACAACAACAACAACAACAAATGAATACATTACAAGATTATAAAAGTCCAACAATATTACGAAATAAAGATATTGATGATTTATCAAAATTAACCGATAATACATGGGCGAATGCATCTCAGGAAGTAAATTATGAAGAAAAAATACGTTTTAGTGATGATGATGATGATAATAATAATAATAATAATAATAAAAATGTTCATAGAGATATTTTAGAATCAAATAATAATAATAAATCACGTCGATTAAATCCACAAATATTACAACATTCACGTTTAATACAAGATGATGAACATTTAAAACAAATGCAAAATAATAAAAATTCAGAATTAATTAATGCATTAAATATTGCTAAACAACGACGTGATGAACAAGAACGTCATCTTAAACATGAACAATTAATAACAAATATTGATGAACAAAAACAAATACCAGGTTATCAAACACGTCCATTATTAACATCAAATGATCAAGATAATCATAATACATCAATATTATGGCATACAAATAAAGATTTATCAACTACATCTCGTACACGTCATGATACAGCTAATAGTCAATCATCATTTACAATGAAAAGTTGGTCCGATCAAATGGATTCATTTAATTATGCATCATTACATGAAAAGTAATTAAATCTTTTCTAAATAGATTATTTCATTTTTTTTTTTTTTTGTCTTAAAACTACATCAATTTCAAAGTCATATGTACAGTAATTTGTATGAAATTATACAACAATATTTTGACAAGTACATATCTTTGAGATATAAAGTCTTCAAACAAATTACTATATATAAGATTTTCAAATCGAAATAATTTTAAGATAAAATTAAAAAATACAAGTTTTTGCTAATTTAAGACTTTCACTCATAAATCAATCTTACATCAAATACATTTAAATTCTATGAAATTCTTTTCATATATATTTAATTTTGTTTTTATTTGAAAGAACATATCAAATTTTAATTTTTATGCGAAGAAAAATAACAACAAGTTCAATAATAATACTCTTTAAAAATGTTCATCTTTTTGTAATAGAAGAACTCAATACATTAAAAAAAGCCTCAAATAGTACTACCGCTACATATATTCTTAGATATAATAGTTATCATTGATAGTACATCGTATATGTGAATATTTATATTAAACTATGATTTCGATTGATTTAAATAATTTTATTGAAAAATTTTTGATATATCTATTGTATATTTAGATCTCGTGGACATACAGAAAATGATGAATTATCAACATTAAATAAATATAGTCGTTCTCAAAGTGAAGCAAGTTCACAATCACAACATAATAATGATTTAATGCTAAAAAAATCGAAAAAACTTCCATTAACATCAAAAAAACAACAACAACAACAACAACAACAACAGCAACAACAAAAAATGAATTTATTACAAACAAAAAATTTATCGAAAAAATCTATTAAAAATAATAATTTAGATTATTTAGAAAATCAAAATCATTCAAATGATCAATGGAATGAATCAATTGATAATCGTTATCAACAATATACAAATGATAATCGTCGACATCAACAATTACTATCCGATGGTCTTTCAACACAAAAATTAAATCAGTATAATAATAAACAATCATCAATAAAACCACGTTCTAATCAACGACAACAAATAAGTATGTTTAAACTTTTACAAGACACCTATAAGTTGTTTTTTCGATAAATCTTTTTTTTTACTACAGAACCGGATATATGTAGACTTCCTCTATCTAATAGTATGAAGTTCAATTGCACATACTGTTGACATGTCAATAGATGGCGTCATATAATAACATGTCAACAGTACGCAGTAGAAGTTAATAAAGCATATATTATTATATAGAGGAAGTCTTTTTCTACAATCTTATATATATATATATCCGATTGTGTAGTTTAATTCTTCTAATTGTTTTTTTATTTTTATTTTATTAGATTCTCGTACAAAACCAAATTCATCTATATCCAATAAAAATAATCAAACTACAACAGTATGGCGTCCATTATCACCAAATCAATCATTAGGATCAACTGATCCAACACCACAAGAATCAATTTCATGTAAATCTCAACAACGAACAAATTTAAATGAACATAAACAACGAAATCAGGCAACAACAACACCAACATCATCATCAATTATCGATACAGCATCAATTCCACCATTAATGAGTGTACGATCAGATGGAACAACAACAGGAAATTTATATAAAACAACAAATCATAATGTTTCATCACATTATGATGATGAAAATATTTATTATGATTCTAATTTAGAATTACATCAAAATTATCATCAACAGCAGCAGCATCATTCAAATATACATAATCGAAGATATACAGCATTAGGTACATATGGACGTTATAAACGGGGTGGAACAGTTCGTCATCAACAACAATATACAACATATAATATAAATAATACATCTGGTATATCATCAGCACCTAATACAAGTTCAGGTATACGTCAAAAAAAGAATTCAACTAATCGAACAAATACAAATAATAATAATAATAATAAATCTAATCAATCAGCTGAACAAATAAAAACTGAAGAAGTATCAATAATAAAACCTATTGAAACATCTGTATTATCTTCTCCAATTGAAGTATTAACAACAGATAATGAAAAATCAAATGATACATCTAATCAAAAGATTTCAATAAAAAATGATAATGAATCAAATATTATTCAACCAATAGAAAATGATTCAACTAAAACAAATAAAAAATCGACAGTAATAACATCATCTAATCCAAAACGACATACAAATAAAAATCAACAAAATTATCATCAAGATCAACGTTATCAAAATCAACAAGCTCCACGACATAGAAATAATTATACACGATCAATGCAAGGTATTTCCTTGTTTTTAGAGAAAACTATTTCAGAATTTATTTGTATTACATCTAAAACAATTCTTTAATACTTGACATTTGATTACTAGTACTTTTTTTCTCTCGCGTCGGACTAGATGAAAATAAGTTAGTTTTATTGAAATTTCAAATGTTGTTTATAATCACTAAAAATTACGTAGAGTTAACTTTAATATCAAGCAAATCGTTTAGCTCTATTTAAATATATTTTATTAATTCATGAATGGCTCGTTTATTTTTCACTTAAGTTTTAACTGTAGATCAGAATTATCGATTCGAAAGGCTTTCTCTTCTTGAAAATGACGAACTTTTTACAATCTTTCATGGAAAATCATGACAGAAAGAGAATTGTAATGATATTAGCTCTGCTTCTAATAGATATTCATACAAAGATACTTTTTCTCAGACACAATATTATAGAAAATCGATTATTTCAGCATCTTCTATTCGATATCTGCAGACTATTTAATTCTCATATTTATTTAGACTATGAAGCTATGCAAATGGCTGCTGCACATAATTATTATGGTACAACTCATCGAACAGCACATAATGGTCGTAATACACATATGCATGATTTATCAAGTGATTATTACTACGAATATCCTAAACAGTATGTTTCATTTTGTTAAACACGATTCAAAAAGAGTGTGAAGATAGAAATTTGAACCTCCCCCCCTCCCCTCCCGCTCCCCTTCCCTTTGTGCATTTCTCGCGTGGTAAGCTTTTGCTAAAAAATGATCAGATATGACAAAAAAAAATTTTTTTCTTCAAAATTGTTTTATGTTGTATATCATTTGATGCAGTTTAATGTGATGATTTTGAATATTTTATTTTTGTCGATTAAATAATTTTTCAAAGTTTGAAACATCAAGTCCAAGAATGTTTACGCGCTAACAGGAATTAGATACAGTAGATAGAAGAACATTCTGGCAAAGTGCGGAAGTTGGATTGCTCATTTTATAGGACTAGTCATTCGAATGACACTACGAAAAAGTATTTTTTTTTTAACCATTGTATAGAGCTTGGCTTGAAGATTCAGAAAATGTACTTGATTTATCTGTCAAATAGTTTAATTTTGTCAGGTGTCAGTTTGTTGCCAGTGACATCATGATTTTCAGACAACTAATTTTTCATTTGCTTTGAGAATTACAACAAACCCATTAGATAGAGTATATTTCGAAATCTATTTTAATCTTGGAAAAGCACGATTTTCATTTTTAGCCAAAATTCCACCTAGATATACATATGGCTTCAGCTCGTCAGTCCCAAAATTTTCGAACCGCGTCCGAAACCAACTCGACAAACTCTAGACATTGTTGATAGATGATTGAAGATCGTATATGCACAACGTCTCGTTATAATATATGAATTACTTCCTAATTACATTTCATGAAGATTAAGTAAAATGATAGTGAAGCAATATATCCGTAGAATAAATAATCTTTCTGTGATTAGCAAGAGCAACTATATCTTGTTTCATATATTAATCCTACAGATATTGTGTTAACAACTTTTATTTTTTTCAAAATTATTTCTTTTATTTTATTAAGACATTATAATAATCGATATAATTATTCGAATGAACATTATCAACAACGTTCAACAAATAAAAATTCAAAACGTGGTAGTTCATCAATAATAAATAATCGACAACCAAAACAACAAATAATCAATGGAAGTAGTAGTAATAATAATAATAATAATAATAATGTTCGTCATCATTCAACAAGTGATAATGATCAAAAAGAAGGTGAAGAATGGGAAACAGCATCTGAATCAAGTACAAATATGCGTAATGGTCATTATGATACAAATGCAATAAATACTGAACAAACAAATGAAACAAAAACAATTCATCGTGGTAAAACACCACCGAAGAAAAGTTTTTCCAGTCAAAGGTAAATTTTTGTTTAAATTATTCTTTCTTAAATTTTACAATATTTTATTTTAGGCCAAATGCGCGTCAGATTTTCAAATATACGAATGCATGAAAGAGAGAGAAAGACAGAAAATTTTCTCATTTTTGTTTTTTTTTTTTTTAATATTTTGTCTTCACTTTCTTTCTCTCCTCTCTCTCTCTCACTTAATTCGTCTACGCGCATACATATCATAATAAATGTATGTATGTGTATGTGTATAGCATATTATTGTTCTTTCAATTTAGATAGAAAAGTAGATTCTAAATACACATATACATAGATATATTTATTCATATGTGTGTAAATTCTTTTTCTGTTTTTAAAAGGAATCTCACAATAGCTTTTAAAGCAGATTTGATGAAGAAGAAAGAGAAAAAAAAAAAAAAAAAGGAAAACAAATTTTCTTTCTGTTTTGTTTTGTTATTTCTTGCTCCTCTTTTCTTTTCTTTTCTTTTATATAATATATACTGGTCATATTAATTTTTTTTCTCTCGAATGATGATGAATGTCAATATTGTGTGTATGTGTGTTTTTCTGTTTGTTTGTTTGCTTCTTTTTTTTTTTTTCTTTTGTTTTTTTAATTGTTAATCGAACAAAACATATTTAATCATCTGTATGTTTATTTCTTTTTCTTTGTCTTTTTCTTTTTTTAACCGTTGATGTGACATATTTGATCAAAAAACAAAAAATCTCTCTTTTCATGCTATTTATTATTTGTAAATACAAAGCCACAAAAATAAGAAAACATTTAACGTAATGTGTAAAACATTTTAAAGGAGTGATTTTTTTTTTTGTTTCATTTTTTTTCTCTCTCTCTCTCACTCTTGTGCGCGCCTTCCGTTTATATTTAATCCTAATGCGTTTATTTCCCGCCTAATACATTGCAAGTTCTTTTCAACTTCTTTCTTTTTTTTTTTTTTTTTTTTCTTCTCTTGTCATGAAAAATAATAAAATGCAATCGGAACATTGGCTGTTTATTCAATATCGATAATTAAGAGTTTTATAAGAACAATCAGTATTCTGTATAAGATAAACAATAGAAAACAGGTTGCATTGGGAAATAATTCCTTGGAAAGTATAGCATGAATAATAAGAATAAATAAATTATTATTTTCTAAAACATTAATGTTTAAATCTATAGCAAGAAAATTAGATTTTACTTTTACATCTAACAATTCATGATTGCTTGACATAACGTGTTAAGAAGAAAAGAAGACTAATAACTAGATATATGGGTAAGATGGGTTTAGTCCCTTTGGAGTAATTTTTTTGTCCTCTCGTATGTTATATTGTTATGATTCATACGATCTAAATAGATATAGTCAAGATAACCTCTGTCCTAGCAGAACTGAGATCAAATTTTTTTCCGAGAGAGTCGAGTACAATTTTTTTTTTTTGGTTAGGATCTATATCAGCATGACTATTGTTTCATTGGGAATAATACATTTTTGATGATCATGTAAAACTTGCGTCGTGCGTCATTTTGTCATGAGTCTAGTACTTTAAATAGACATGAGAACAATGGTCCTGATCATGCCTACTAATAACGCATCATATAATACAATGAATAGGATATTTTTAATTCTTTAAAGTATTCACATTTTAAATGAATGCAAATCTTTTTAGTTCTATATTTAATTTGAATAGGATTTACTGAAGTCTTCTTTATGATTATAATATTATCAATATGAATAATAATTAATAAATCTGATGAATTTCTTTAACTTATTCAAAATCAATTGCACTAACTGATTAGAATGTAAAACTGAAATCTATGTAGATAGTATTTTATTTCTTATATCAATTCATAGTTTATATTAGTTTTCTATTTCGATTCGATATTGAATTGTATCCATCATTTTGTTTTATGTCATGTATTTGTTTGAGATCTTACATAAAATCTCTAGTTATCAAACGGAACTAAGAAAAAGATAAAAAATATTTGTATTTATTTATAACATCAATAAAATAAGTGGAACATTATTTTGACAGCAGGCAAATAAATTTTCATTCGGAAACATATGTTGTTATTACATCAAATGACTTTATCAAGAGGAAAATGCACTCTTATTTATTCTCGGTTTCATAAAAAACAAATGTCTTTTAATAAGTCAACTTAATATTTTTTATTTTTTTATTCTACTGTTATTTATTTGAACTATTTTTCTTTTCCCCACAACCCCCAAATCACTGTTATATTCTGTATGAAATTAAAATTAAAAAAAAAAAATGATTATGTAAAAAGGTGTGTCATTGTGTTATCATTTTTTTTTTTGTATGTATATCTAGCTGTTGTTAACTTCAAGTAGTTGATTAAGAAGATGAATATAGTTAACAGCTGTACGAAGAGTTTCAATACGAGATAATTTACATCTATTTTCAACAGGTAAGACCAGACGAAGTTGAGTATAAGCTTTATTTAGTTTAAGCATTCGATGTTTTTCACGTATAGTTGCTTCATCACGTTGTTGTCCATTGAGTTTACGTTTTTTACGTGTTGGTTGTAAAGTTGATGAAGATGGAATATCATTATATACAAACTTTTCTTCGTTGTTCATTTCAATTTTTTATGATTTGAAGAAAAAAAAAAAGAAGGAAACGATCGGTGTATATATATATACATCATATTTTACTTTTGTCTGTCTATATAATCGAATCATTAAGTAAGTAATGATCTTTGACAGTGTAGTAATAACATGAATCATTCCATTAGAAGAAGAGAAAAAAAAAACTTACCAATTATGAATTGATTTAAATTATTATTACTTTTTTTTTTTTTTTACAAACACGATCACTTTGAAAAAGATTCAATAGCAAAAATCAACATTTAGAACGATAATCAATTCTTTTGATTAATTATAATGTAGTCGATAGTAGAGATATTATTTTATAGATAATATATTGAACTAATTGTCAATTAGATCTATCTAGATTATCAATTTTTGTGGTTTTGTTTATATTTGCTAACGTGAAATTTAATACTAATATTCGAAGATAAATATCAAAAATAAAATCGTTCTCAATGACCTAGGTTAAATGCATTTGATAATATCACTCGATTATCCATTGTAAAACGATATATACAAGTCAAAAAAAAATGTATATTCTGTTAAACGAAGCAATCAATCAAACGTCAATGAATCATAGTATTTTAATGTTTGTAAACGATATTTATGTTTCGATTATAATCGAATATTATATTGTTCATAAGTTGATTTTGTCAACCTATTTTTTGTGTTTCCGATAGTTTGATTATACCATTGTAGGTTGATTGATTTTTTTTTTTGTTATTCTATGAAATGCTAGATATTTTTACCTTTCTATTTTTTTTTTTTTTCTAAGCCTCTTAGATAATGATCAACTATGTAAGCATAATGAATAGTACAATAAGACATAATACAAAAAAAAAAAAAAAAAACTAAAATAAAAAATGAATCATACATACTTATCTACGTTTTTTTCTTTCTCTTTTTACGTACATATACACTTAAATAATAATTTTTATCATCGAAATGTGTTTCTAGTAGTATTCATTTAGCATAGGCATACCAACGTTTTTCTTTTCTTGCTCCTTTCTATTTTACTTATACATAATTTTTAATCAAATTGTGCATATAACGCATGTGTGTCAATATTATGACAGAATCTATCGTCCTCGCCACTCTACCTCGTTCTTTAGGGTTATGTCTATAAAAAAAAAAAAAAAAAAAAAAACGAAATAAACTGTCTCACGTAGTAATAATCTTTTACTCCTACACATAAGAGTGACTTTTATTCTTTTCTTTTTTTTTTTATTTATTTATTGTTCTTCATAACTATACATGGATATTTTTCTCAAACCAAAGCGAAGGAAAAGGTAGATAAAGAGACAAATAAAAAGGAAGTGTATATCTATGCGTATATTTTATTTATCTACGACAGATTAGTATTAAACATAATATTTAGACATATGGATAATACTGTATATGTTTATATACGCACATACGATGAAAGCAGCGGTTCACAAGGGTAACATTTGTTTTGTGTAGTTAAACGATTATTCTTCTTTGAATTATCAAGTATGTTATCAGTATGATGAACACGTGTAGACACATACACATACACTTTTTTTTTTTTTTCTAACCATTATTATTGATATGCACCATATGATATAAAGTTAGTTTAATATGTTATGTCTACAAGTTCTTTTACATTTATTGTGGTTCATAGATTTTTTCTTAATCATCTTTCTATCATTAACAACTTTCTACATCAATATATGTTTGTTCTTTTATATATGTATGTGCATGTCATTCGATGCTTAAGGGCGAAATTTTATCAATTTTTTTTCTTCTTATTGTTTCGTTTTTATGGGTTACAATTCTATGCAATCAAATGCACAAACCAGTTTGCTTGGTCTATTGTCCGTTCACTATGTGTTCTGCATGTATGTTCGTTGTTCTATGGATGGAATAAATGAGTACAGAGAACTCTCGTTCTTTTTTTTTTTTCTTTTTTTTGACGTTCTTCCATTCTTGATAGAGAGAAATACATAAGGGTACCATTACCACACATAGCATTCACCAGAAAGAATGAAGAAGAAGAAGAAGAAGAAGAAGAAGAAGAAGGAAAAAAAACGCGACCGATAGTAGCAAAGAGAAAATGTCATTTCCATTTCTTCTTGTTCTTGCTCTTCTCTTTATCGATTGCTTTCCATCAACAGAGAGTAGTGGACGACGGTCGAATGGGTTCACGATTGACGAACGTCGGCTTTTTTTTTTTTTTTTTGCTTTTTTTCTCTTCACCTGTTCTATATTCAATAAGAAGAGAAAGACAGAGAGAAACAGTTGATTACTCCGAACATGTGCATATATTCGTCTTCGTCATTCGCGTTTTCTCTCCCTCTCTCTCTCTCTCACTCACTTCTCTACCCTCTATTCATTTTTTTTTTTGCATTTGTAGACAAACCGTCAATACTGCTCAGTATATTGATTGTATTCGACTGACCTAATTTTTGGAAACGAAAAAATTAAGAAGAAAAAAAAAATATATATATGTGGTATCCTCCTCAACGGCAACAGCAGCATAGCTGGCATGGATATGCACATCATTTTTTATCTCAACAGCAGCAGCAACAACAACAACAACAACAAACTTATTCGAGAAGTTCATATTATTTTAACGGTGATGAATTATCAACTACAAACATTGTACCAATCAATGATGAGAATGAATCACCTAACCATTGTCAAACAGCATATGGCAGCAATAGTCACGGTAAAAAAAAAAAAGAAAATGTTGTTGAAATTTGAAATAAGTGTTTTTCTTTTAATCGAACAATTTCTTATTCGTATATTAGAATAACATTAATCATTTTGTATAAGTGTTATAAATTATTTTATTTTTTTTAGGTTTCTTTACTTTTAAAGTCGAATAATAGTAAGAAAGAGTGAATCAAAGTAGTGATATATGTATGGATAGGTGCTTATATCAATGTTTTTTTATTATTATTATTACTTTACATATGTATATAAGTGAACAAATTGTTGCATTTCTATCTGTAGTTATAACGACAACTATTCTCCTTCGGTCTTGCGCAATAATGATCTTAATGAACGATAGTGACAGTGACGATGACATTTGTCATATTCACAGTACAAGCTATTCAATTCGGCTTCGCATTCTCTTAACAAGTTGATCACTAGATCAATCATATAGTTATTGTATTGTAGATATACATTCACGCAATCGCATGCTTCTATATTCTATAAAGATAAACAAAGTCTATGATAGAATCTAAATCGAATTATTACGATTTAGATGAATGAAGTGAACACATTATTGAAGATTGAGATCTAATAATTCATATGGGTATTGAGAAGACTAATAAATGCATAAGAAGAAGAAAAAAAAATTCTCAAACAAATAATATATATATTTAACTTAGATATTAAATTTTTAATAGTTGATAAATTGTTGAGTTCCGCAATAAGAAAGGGTTTCTTTTTTTTTAACTTTTTAGTCTTCAATTAATAAATAATAATTACAATCATTAGTATATGATAATAACTACAATTAAAATCATTAAAATAGAATCATTAAAATACGAAATTTATCTATAGAAAGATATCTGTTGATAGAAATGATGATGATATGTCATGTTTTACTTTTCCCATATGTAAAGATAAACAAGAAAAAAAAAAAGAAAGTTCCGTCACAGACAGAGATTCATTGTTTTGTAATTAATAAGGTTACATTCTTAAGTATTGTTGATATGGAATGCTTATGTATTGCAAAAAATAGTTCTCTTTTTTTTTTTTTTCTTCTACTAGAACAGTATTCTTGTATGTCGTCCTATTTGTTTATGTGGCTTTAAAAGTAGTCAGACCACGAATGAGAAGGAGAGGCTGTCGAAGTGCCGAGAATAATAGAAAAACGGAGGAAGAAAAACGTTCTTGAGTGCTCCTTTTTTTTTTATACTACGTAATTCAAAAAAGAAAATAGTGTCTCTTCTAATCGACGATAGATACAACTATATAATATGAAGGAAAGACAAGGTGGATTCATAAGTTACGTTTTGGCCTTCATTTCTTTTGGCATATAAAAAAATTTTTCTCTTGTAATCCGAGCTGAGTGCATAAATATATATATCTATGTCTGTACACATGTGATAGATAGTGCACATAGTTGATCATTAGTGCAATTACCGACTGCTGTTCTGTTTATACACATATGTATATTCCGAAATATATATTGTCATGTTGATCAGATGCAAAGAACAGATGATAATTACTAATTCTTGATTTTTTTTTTGTTTCGTTCTATTTTGATATTCATGTCATATATAAAATTTTCTCATTGAAGTTTGATGATTTATCGTAATGAATTTACTTATTTTTACACATAGCTATTTTCTTTCTTTGTTTTTTTTTTAGTTGTTAGTTGTCCTTCCTATATATTCCTCTTGACTTTTTTCCTGTTACTATTTCTGTAGTCAATAAGTACTCAAAGGACTGTTGTTTTTTTTTTTGTCTTTCTCTTTTTCTTTTTCTCACATTTATAGTCCTACTCTATACTACCGCAATGCTCATTGTCATTCAATTTTTTCATCATCATGTTTTCTTTCTTCTTCTAGTTATTACAGATTGCTACGTGACTACTTCAAACAATTCATACGGTGATGAAATGCCTTCATTTCATAAAACACCAACACGAAATGCATATTGGGATCCAGTTATTGCTGCACCAACAAAAAATATGACTGTTATTACATCATCTTCACCCGTTATTTCTTCGTCTTCATCATCATCATCATCGTCATCATCATCAACAACTTGTTGGGACTGGTTACTTTTTTCACCAGAATATTATTCTGAATTTTATACACCATTATCGACTTCTGTTCAAAAAATAGAAGAAGAAAAAGATAATGATATTGATTATAATTTTCTACCGAGTTTACCAATATGTTTACTCGAATTACTTTATATAACACCAAATTTAATGAATACATCGGACGATGAGAATGATAGTGATCAAGAGATTAGTTCTCTTCATAGAAATGACGAGTCATTATTAT